AAAAAAGGCCTTAATTTTATTAACTTATTACAGGATATTAAAAAGCCTAAGCTACTGCCTTTTCCTAACCTAGCCCCTAGCTTAAAGGTTAATTTCTTCTTTAAATATTATAGAATTATAAATACATTATACCTATAAAGGCATATATAATAATATATTATTACCTCTTTCCCTATTAGCAAAGAAATTAGGCATTAAGTAAAGGCATTATAAGGCAAGGAAATATAGCCTAACAGTACTATAGTTATATTATATACTTCTAGTTATAATACTATAAGAAATAGAGCTTGTATAATAAATTGTATTTAGGGATATCTTTAATACACTTTAATCTATTAACTATAGTAATTTTAAATTAATTGCAATAAAATTAAAAGCTACTACTATTAATTTATCGATTTTCTTACTAATTCCTTACTAAGCGGCTATTTTACGATTTTACCCTTATCCTATAATTTTGCTGCCTACTCTTCGAGTAGGGCTCCCTTTTGGTTAGATCTACGAGTAAAACGGAAATTAAACTTACGTATGAGTTAAAGAGGTACGTGTAATTATAAGTAGTACAGAGAAGCAATGCCAGCAAATTCACGGGCAGTGTTATGATGTGTTGGATACCAGCTGGAGAGAGAAAATGACTGGCCTAATGGCGAGTTGGAGCTGCTCATTGGGCATTGTTCAGCTCCCATACTCACTTCACTGCGTGCAGTCCAAAATAAGCTAAAGTGAATCATCATACCAGCCCGGCAGCCCCTCGGTAAAGGGCAATGTCAGGATAGGGGTGGTGTCATATTTTGGTGTGTGGCCTAAGTCTGTCAGACTCAATAAATACAGATAATACCTCAGTATTTGAAATGTTTCCTGTCCGTACTCCGTAGAAACCCGCAACTCTCGAGGTCTAAACTAGGTAGGTACCTTAGCATTCGTTTCTCGGCAATTATCCATTGGCTCTAAGACGCTGCCTTTCATGCAGGTTGCGTGTGCCTGCAGAATACTCCAGCCTATCACGGCCCACGAACCACCTGGCACCTTCAAGGGTCAGCGTTGAAAGGCATTGCCACAGACAAGACAGGGCAGAGCATAAGATCACAGCCTGAGCTGATGTCACCGCTCTTCAAAATCTTGAACATGCATAACTAATTAGTTGCTCTTGACTGTTCAGTTGAGTAAACATCAACAAACCAACCTCGAACACACTACAAGTTCTTATATGTTTGACCCACCTTGCTTGATATTAATAAAGGCCGTCTGGTTTCTTCAAAGTTTCTCCTGACGCCATTTATCCATCAAAAACCAGGATCACCTGCCACACTCCGTCCGTCATCCAATCTGGCCGTGCGGGTGCGCACCCTTCCCCTACGCTTCTGATATTAGTGGTGGCTGTGGCTTAAGCGCTAGTCGAGACTCGAGGGGCCCCGGCATAAGGTAAGATAGAAACAGTACGGGAGTAGGTGCAGTACTCTCTGTGTTGTGTTGCTCCTCCTGCATCTGTAGCAGAAACTAAAAGACAAGGGCATTGCAGACGCTGCTACACGCTAAGGCGGTACTCCCTTCCCCCCCGAAACCCGCTTTCTGGGTCTAAGGTGCATTCTGCAACTACAACTCTTCCGTCATTTCCCCCGGTTTAGGCTTTGATTTGCTTTGCCTCCTTCAACTCAAACCTATCTAACTAGGTACTCAAATCACGCTCAGCATTGAACATTTTCTCTCGCTTTTGCTCTTTACCTGGCTCACTTGTGTTTTCCTACTCGGACCAGCTACCTTTCTTTTCTCAATCAGAAACTGAGTATCGGATGCTTCCATTGGACTTACATCTGCACCTTCCCTGCCCTCTTTCATCCTGACTCGACTACGGGCAAAGACAAGCAACCGGCTACTTCTCTTTCTATCTTTTGCGCGATGAGGTAGAATTAGAGCAAGCACACGCCTTTCCCACCCTTCCTCCCGGAAAACTCCATCCTTCTTCATCTGGAGGTGCTCCTCGACTCTTACCGCACGATAGATACCTAAGGTGCTCAACAAGAGGTGCAAAATGAGTCCCTCGAGCCCTCTATCTTTCGTCCCTGACGGAGAAAACTCAACACTCTCGTCGCCACTCTCCAACCTCTCCAGAACACCATCATTGCCTTCGTCACCTGACATGCTCGACCCCACGAAGCGCTATCCATCTCCATCAACGACTGCATCGGGCCCGCACTCTCCAGACAAGACGTGTGACCTTCCGTCCGAAGATGAAATTGTCGCCAAACCACTCGATGATTCCACTTCAGGTCCCCCACCAGCCAAAAAGCGTCGTATATCTCCCCCGAAAGAACGCACTACCGAGTACCTAGATCTGATGAAGCCCGAAGATGAACTCACTGCCGAGGATCGTGGCCAGTTGAAAAGGCTCATTGACACGTTGCGCAAGAAAAAGAAGATTGTTGTCATTGCTGGTGCTGGAATTTCAGTTTCAGCAGGGATTCCAGACTTCCGCTCATCCACTGGCTTATTTGCGACCGTCAAAACTCAGCATAACCTCAAGGGCTCTGGTAAGCATCTGTTCGATGCTTCAGTTTACAAACACGATTCCACAACTCAGTCTTTTCATGCAATGGTCAGAGAAATGGCTACAATGACGAAAGCTGCAAAACCTACACCATTTCACGAACTCTTAGCATCCCTGGCTCAAGAAGGCCGCTTATTACGCCTCTATTCGCAAAACATCGACTGCCTTGACACCCAACTAAAGCCTCTGGCCACCGAGGTTCCTCTTAACCCCAAGGGCCCCTGGCCTGTTACAATCCAGCTGCACGGCGGTCTCCAGAAAATGGTCTGCACAAAATGCAACAATATCCGGGAATTCAACGGCGAGGTTTTTGACGGCCCAGAGGCTCCACTTTGTCCAACATGTAAAGATCTCGACGAAGTTCGGACCGCACATGCTGGGAAGCGAAGCCATGGCATCGGCAGACTACGACCGCGATTTGTGCTCTACAATGAGTACAACCCAGACGAGGATGCCATCGGGAATGTTTCAAGCGCTGATCTTAAGGCCCGCCCTGATGCTGTATTGGTGGTTGGAACGACACTCAAGGTTCCTGGAACTCGCAGACTAGTGAGGGAGATGTGCCAAGTCACACGAGGACGAAAGAATGGTACTGCTATTTGGATCAATGTGGACGATGAACCCAAAGGCGCCGATCTGAAAAATTGTTGGGACATCGTAGTCCGGTCAAAGTGCGACGATGTGGCTCGATCTGCAGCACTTCCTCCCTGGAATATCACCCTTGGGCAAGATTATGAAGTGTCCGAGGAAGACTTCTCCAAGAGCCAAGAGGATCGCAAACACCTTAATTTCTGTGTTGAAATTCCGGTCAACTCTGTCTCCACGCATCCTCGTTCTGAAGACCAAGGCACAGCCAAATCGAAACAGGTCAAGCAGGTGCAGGGCATACCAACGCCCCATGCAAGCCCCAAGATATCAGCGATCAAAAACCCAGCGAAGACGATGCAGGCCACGATATCTTTCGATGGCAAGATTACCACAGACCAGCCTGCACAAGTCTCGAAACAACGCGGGCCCTCTAAACAAAATGGGCGCAAGAGAAAGGCCCCAGGTGGACATAAGGAGGCGCAACTTAAAAGTTTCAAGGCAACTAAAAATATCATCAGCCAAGAGAAGGCCGGCGGGTCTGTGTCAGTTCCTCAGACGAAGCGGAACGTAACTGGCAAAGGGAAAAATCGCCATCCTTTGCCCTCTCAACGTCCCACGACCGTGCCGCATAAAGAGATGTTGACTGACACCAAGGATCTGGACGATAAGGTCCGTCAACGGGGAACTGGCTATACTTCCACTCCGACTACAAAAATGAAGGGTACCATTTCTCCACGATCGTACCCTAATAATACCCGACATCTGATCGATTAAGAGCAGAATCAGCACGACAGTATTTAGAGGGAACAGAAAACCTGCAGATAGCCCATGTTATTATCTGTATTCTTTAGCATTCATGGAGTACGGGGTTGGCTGATACCAGATGCTAGAAATCAAGCTGCGGTCTCTGGGACCAACAACACAGGCAGCGAATGATGTATACTACTATCCAAGGGCAGACTTGCATTATTTGGGACCAAGGTTTTGTTAACACTGAGGCAGCGGGTGCCCGGTTCGGCTTGGTTAAATAGAGGCGTTATAGGGAAGAGGAGCCTTGCAGCTGGACAGCCAAGGTCAATTACATAGAGGCGGCAAGAGATGCGCCAGATTCGAATATTAATCTCATTATTGAAGCGTAGCAAATGAGTAATGAATGAAAGAGCAACGTCAATTGCGCGGTGAAATCATCATAGCTAATTTTCAAGAGGGGTTTCCCTGGGTATCATGTCATATCCTTCGAGCGCCGTCGTCCGCTTCCACCTGCAATAACCTATCATACCAAGAAATCGTGCTACGACTGAGCTCACTTTAATCGATATGCACTTCGATTGTGTCTCGAGCCTCGATCTCGGCATCCTGCATCTCCACGTGCTCCTCGAGCCGCTCACCATCCCACCACAGAGATACCTGCTTATCTGAACCAACATTACGCTGTTGACGGAAGTGCGAGATGAGCGTTTCCACAGTTGTCTCAGGGAGAATCTTGCAAGCCAGCGGTTCAACGTCCCGTCCTTTGAGCATGATCACGAACCTGATTCTCTCGGCTGGCTTCTCATCTTCCTCGCCAGAAAGTTCACCAGCGTCACGCTTCCGCTGGAGTTCCTGCTCCTGCTCCATCCTCTGAAAGAGTTCCGGAGTCCAGGCTTGTACGTTTATTGAAGACATGTTCTCTCTGAAGCCCGCCGACCCTTGACCGTCGCTCACAGCACGTCCATTGCCGATCGGGCGAATGCCCAGGCCAATCAGGGTGGAAGTGTTGTATACTTTCTTGTTGTTCCAGGTGAGAGTCACATCGTCTGCTTGTATGGAAACGCCTTTTTTCAGTTGGTGTTTGACCCACGCATCTCGAACTACGCGAAGAGGTTTGTTGAATAAAACCCTCACTTGCAGGGGTACAGTATGCGGAATCGTGCTGGTAATAAAAATGTTAAAGGCCTCCTTGGGCTGCTCCTCAGACTTGTTAGCCTGCAGAGCCTGTTGGCGGGCTCGCTTCTCTTCGGCTTTGCGAATGTACTCTGCGAATTCATCCTCCTCCACTGGTGGTGGGCTTGGTACTTTAGGAGGCTTAGCGGTCCGCTCCGCAAGTTCGATACTACTACTTCCCGGCTTCGATGATAGTTCGGTCTTAGGCTTGGGAGGTTCTGAGTCGGGTTCCGAATCTGAGTCAATCGTTATGGGATCTGGATTTGGTTTGGCCTGTGGTTTGAAACTTTCTGTCTTCAGGTTTCGACTTGGAGTAGGGGGGTTACAAATCGGCCCCAATCTTCGAGTTGGCGATGCATCTGGGAAAGGGTCTTCGTCTATGTCGAGTCGCGAACTAAGTATAGGCTTCTGGGCCGAGCTTGAGTCAAGCCTTGATCGTTTTGACGGAGGAGGAGTGACAAGTTCACTAAACGAATCAGAACACGATGTTAGGCGATCTGGTTAGCAAGCATACCTGGTGCGATCCGCTCCGTCGTATGTCAGCGGCTGATCGGTAACAGGAGTTCCCTCTATCCGTGGAGGCAGGGAAGGTAGACCGTCGCTGACCTCGGGGCCAGGGTCCTTGTTGGTGAGCCCATCGCTATCTGAGGAGTCTTCTCGCGGTCGTTTCTCCCCAATGGCCTCAAGTCGTTTGCGCTCAGCTTCTCTATGTCTCTCCCAACGCCTTTGCTGATCAGCTGCCATGATAGGCGCCATCTCCTTTGAGCGGCGGAACAGAGAGAGACCATCGTCGTCACTGTCCTTGGAATCCTCGGATTGTGTTGGTTTTGGTTTTGTCGCTGCCCTGCGCAGCGCGGTGGGCTTAAAGGGGAGTTTCTTCATATTGGTCAAGAGCCTCTGATTAGCTTGCACGAAGTTTTGATAATAGCAAAGCCCTCAGTTGTTCGCTCAGTTTTGTAAAGGAACAAGGCGACAGACGCGCACAAAGCGATACAGTACAGTCGGTTGAGTCTAAAAGTAATCAAGAACAATGAAGCTGGAGGTTGAACGGATCTTTCGTTGAGAGTGGAGGCTTGAATCGCACTTTACACTTTACGCGCCTGGAGGTGGTGGGATGGAGGTTGGTTGCCTGGGCAAGAAATAGAGACCTGGCCCGCTAAAAATACCCCCGCTACGTGCCGCTGTAACGGGACGTTAGGCGACTTCACAGCATCCGTGTTGTCCCACAGTGCGAAATGACTCAAGCCTTAACAGCCACGGCAAGGCATCAATCTTTCAGGCTAACCAGACCCAGACAACACTCCACAAGCTCTATCCAAGATCTATTATCATAAACCACCAACGACACCCTGAACCTCTCAAACCGCCAACCTCCAAACACCACCCCAGTCTTCACGATGGAGAACGGCGCTATCTCTCAGGGTGAGGGAAAAGACCCTTCAAGCTTCCTCAGTGACATCATCGGTAACCCTGTTACTGTCAAGCTCAACTCTGGCGTTGTCTACAAGGGTGAGTCTTCACGTCTTCACTCATCAATTTGACGATGCAGCTGAGCGCCTCACATGCGAAGATACAGCAGTCAGGATGGAGCTAATTCTTATAGGCGAGCTTCAATCTGTGGATGGCTACATGAACATTGCCCTGGAAAAGACAGCCGAGTATGTCAATGGCCAGAAACGTAGGGAATACGGTGACGCCTTTGTGAGAGGAAACAATGGTGAGTGCCGCTTTTGTTATGGGCAGAAATCTTGCTAATAGACGCGAAAGTCATGTACATTTCGGCAGACTCATGATTGGTCCTGAACAATGAAAGACGGCTCGGTTTCTACAGTATGTAGATTTATGATGAAACTAATCTCTACGTCCTCTTCACTATGGGCCATCCAGACGTGACGTCCAGACAAAGAAAGTGCACCCATGAAGCTCAAGCTCACCGTTCTCATTGAACGTGGCATCGCCCTCCTTGATGATCTTGTCGAACTTCTCTTTAAAAAGTCGACGCTCCTCTCCTTGCCGAAGCTTGTTCCAACTAAGTGTGTCGAATCTGTCCCACAAAGCATCAGGGGTCAACCAAATCGACCATGTGATTTTTTCGGTCTCGATGGGCGTGGAAAAGAATGGCTTCTCAGCCCCTGCTTGACGTTCGAATACTTTCTTCCACAGCAAGTGTCGGAACCGAGGCTCGTTGTCCGCCTTTTCGTTGAAGTTGAGCTCGCTGAGCTCCTGCTCCCACTTTGTAGAGGCTGGCCAGGTCTCGGGGCGATTATCTTGGGTCTGTTATCAGTCACTCCGGAAGCGGCGAACGGCAACTGGGACGTAATTACATTCTTCGGCATTCCAAATCAACCCCAGTTTGGCCCCAGGTTTGAGCACCCGGTGTATCTCCTTGAGGGACTCCTCTCGGGCAAACCTTGGACTTGGTTAGGGCCTGTCGTGAGTCCTTTGAGGAACGACATACCAGTGAAAGGCCTTTAAATGTTAGTCTGGTTTCTAGCTAACTAT